ATCATGGAAATAGTGGATGATTAATAAATACCTACTCAATTACATTGCTTATATTAACATGTATCACTTTGGTGGTACGACATGTTAATGGAAGCATAGATGTAATTATCTAAGGAAGAAGAGAGTGCTATCAACTAGGGAAATCAGGAGTTATTCCCTAAAGTAAGTGGCCTATGATTTGAGCCTTGAAGGAACCTAAGGATTCTATGAGGTAGGGATGAGAAGTGAGTGCATTCTTGGCATACAGGACAACATGTGCAGAAATATAGAGTGAGGAAATTGAATCAGTTCAGGGAACCAGGATGTAGAGCACTTTGCCTGGAACATATAATACATGAAAAAGAAGAAGAATGTGAAATAAACCTAAAAAGGTGGGCTGAACATGGCTTGTGATAGGCTTTAAATGCCAGAAAAGTTTTTGTTTAGTTTTACAGGTGATAGAGAGCCACTAAATATTCAACAGGGTGTTGACATGGTTGGACAGTGTGCTTTAGGAATGTTATTTTGACAGCTTTTGTAAAATATGTACTAGAAAGGGGAGAAACTGAAAGCTGGGAGTCCAATTGGAGGCTTTTGTAATCGTCTGGACAAGATATGAGAAGGTTGTGACCTGGGTAGTGGTCCTGTGAATGAAGAGAAGGGGCTGGATTTGAGAGCTGTTGTGGAAGAAGAATTGACAACACTTGTAGCCATTTGAATGTGGGAGATGAGGGAAAGGAAAGAGTCAGGAATTTGACTCTTGAGGGACTTGAATTCCAGGCACGGGAGGTTGAATTTTACTTGGTAAGTAACAGGGAGCTATTAAAGATTTCTTAGCAGAGGAAGAATGTCATCTTCTTGCTGAGGCTGTGAAATTGGGTAACTTGGAGGATGGTGGTACTCTAAACAAAAACAGGAAAGTTTGGAGAATAAATGAGTTTAGTGGGGGAAGATAATAAATTTCATTTTGGGCATGTTGAGTTCGAAATGCCTCTAAATAATATAGTTGGAGATATCTAACGCGATGGGAGACAGGAGCTCAGGAAGGAGATTAGGGCAGATATATAGGCATTGAAGTTATCTGCATAGAGATGATAAATGAACCCATGGAAAGTAATGAAATCACTTAGAGAGGGTGTAAAGAGAGAAGAGGACCCATGACTAAACATGATTTGGGTCATGTAACTCATTTCCAATGAAATTTTTGCTTAACCCTAGCATCTTTGCTCTGTGTCCCTGATCAGACTTTTCACCTTTCTCATCTGGCTCTTTTTGTGGGCCACCCCTCCCAGTATGTGATTTCCTGCTTACCTACTCTTCCACTTTCTCTTCTCTCCCAGTATCAGAAGTTTATTCTGTAACTGTTAAAGCTACCTCTACCTCACAGACATCAATTTCATTGATAATTCTTTTGTAACTTAGCATAGTTCTTTTGTTTTCTTCCAACAGAAGTAACAGGTAACGTTTGTATTTTCTGTTTATTGTTTCAGATTCTAAGATCTGGACTAAAAATGAACAGTCAAATGAGAAAGAAGAAATTTTAGAAGTAGAACCACATGGAATATTAGAAATATGCCTAAAGGCTATTCCTCCTGTACCCGGTTTTGGAAAAGCATGTGAACCTGAGAGATTAGAAAGTCATCAAGGAAATACCACAGAGGAAATTTTGAGACAGTTCCTTATTCAGCAGAGAGCTTTCATTGAAGTCACGGTGACTCTTAAGAAAACTTCAATAGGAAAATGCTCTGAAGAATTAAGTGAATTAAGGAAAAACTTTTCACTAAACTCAGACCTTGCTACTGGTCAAAGAAATACTACAAGAGAAGGAACGTATAAATGTGAAATCTGTGGCAAAAGCTACATACACAATTCAGTCATTGGTTTTAGTCAAATAGTTAATACTGGAGAGAATCCCCCTAAATGTAATGAATGTGGGAAAAATTTCAACCAGAGTTCATACTTTAAGGGAGACCAAGGAAATCATATTGAAAAGAAAACCTATGGTTGCGCTAAATGTGGTAAAGCTTTTATTCTGACCTCAAAACTCAGTTGACATCAAAGAATTCATACTAGAGAGAAACCGTTTAAATGTAATGAACGTGGAAAATCCTTCCGTTTGAGTTCACAACTTCTTGAACATCGAAGAACTTACACTGGAGAGAAACCCTATGGGTGTGATGAATGTGGAAAACCCTTCACTCAGAGCTCAAGCCTTATTCACCATCAGATAATTCATACAGGAGAGAAACCCTGTGGATGTCATGAATATGGAAAAGCTTTTAGTCAAAACTCACAGCTTATTTGACACCAGAGAGTTCACACCAGAGAGAGACCCTATAAGTGTCATCTTTGTGGGAAAGCCTTCAGCCAAAGTTCAACCCTTGTTCAATATCAAAAAACTCATATTTATATTAAATCACAGCAGTGTAATGAATCTAAGGATATTTTTTATAGTCCACACTTTAAGAAGCCTCAAAGAAATCATACTGTAGTAAAAATGCATGAATGTAACGAATGTGGGAAAACTTTCAAGTGGAGCTCAGGTCTTATACAACATCAGTTAATTCACACTGGAGAGAAACCTTTTCAATGTAACAAATGTTTGAAAGCCTTCAGTTGCAACTCACACCTTATTCTCCATCAAAGAACTCACACGGGGAGAAGCCATTTAAATGTGATGAGTGTGGAAAAGGTTTCATTCAGAGCTGACACCTTATTCAACATCGGAGAATCCATACTGGAGAGAAACCTTATAAATGTGATAAACGTGGGAAAGCCTTCACGCAGAGTTCAAGCCTTATTCATCATCAGAGAATTCATACTGGAGAGAAACCGTATGGATGTCATGAATGTGGAAAAACTTTTAGTATGAGCACACAACTTATAATACACCAAAGAATTCACACTGGAGAGAGACCCTATAAATGTGATGAGTGTGGTAAAGCCTTTAGTCAAAGTTCAACCCTTTTCCAATATCAGATAATTCATGCTGGAGTTAAGCCCTATGCATGTAATGAATGTGAGAAAGCCTTTAACAGAAGCTCATACCTTATTGAACACCAGAGAACTCATACTGGGGAGAAATCTTATCAATGTAATGAATATGAGACTGCCTTAGAGAGTGTAAACCTTATAAAACATTTTATATCTCACACTGGAAAGAAATTGCATGAATGTAATGAGTGTGGGAAAGCCTTCAGGTGGAGCTCATGCCTTATTGTACATCAGAGAATTCATACTGGAGAAAAACCTTATAAATGTAATAAGTGTGAGAAAGCCTTCAGTTGGAGTTCAAGACTTGGTAAACTTCAGAAATATCATAGTAGAGAAACCTCGTGAATTTAATGAATGTGGATAACTTTGTAATTGTGATGAATATGTTACCTCTTAATCCTTTCATTTTGGGGGAAAACTTTTATCAACCTAATGAGTATATGATGAAAAACTTGAGGAATGTTGGAAAGACTTCATTAATTCGGGGCAGCTAGGTGGCGCAGTGGATAGAGCACCGGCCCTGGAATCAGGAGGACCTGAGTTCAAATCCGGCCTCAGACACATGATATTTCCTAGTTGTGTGACTCTGGGCAAGTCACTTAACCCCATTTGCCTCACTTAAAAAAAAAAAAGAAGAAGAAGACTTCATTAATTCAAGTTTAGGAAACTCATAGGAGAATGTGGTCCTTGTATTCTTATGTTGGTTTCCCATCAAAAAGCTTGCATGTTCCTTACTTATAGGGCCTTTATCTGTTTAGACTATTCTTATGCTTCAGTGTGATCTCATTGATATGGTTATTTTCTCTATTGGTATAGGTCACAATCCTTATCCCCTGGAGATTTTTAGTTGTTGACTAGAACTATGATTTTATTGATATAGGGAAATATTAACAAGGAAACCCCTTTCATCAGTGCAGACCAACATTTGCTATGCAACTTACAGCCTATAAGAGAATTTACAACTATGGAGAATTATCTTTGTATTAAGAAGTTGTGCCATACAGATCACAATAGGTCAGAGGCGAGACTTAAAGTTCTTCATGATTCCAAAATGAGGCTGCTGTTTCTTATATTACACCTTGTCACCCTAGTTTAGATTTTAAGATCATGAAAAGAGAATTTGTTGAAGCAACATCTCTCTAGCCTACCATTTAGGTCCTTAATGAACTTTCCCTTTTCTCACCCCCTCAAATTTTTCCCATTGCCTTTGCCAAGACAAATTTGCTTTGTCATGTCCTATGGACAAGATTTTAATTCCGACTCTTGTTTTTATCATCTGGTCAGTCTGTCATGTTATTTAATGCGAATTAATATGTGACTTTCCATGTCTTCTTTCAGTGAATAACTGACCAAAGATGAAACATGCCCCCCCAAGCAGAGTGTTTTAATTAAACTCACATAAATATCATGGGTGATAGAAATTATATACAAAAACATATCCACAGAATGTTAAAAAAATTAAATTCACAGAGTTGTATAAGGAACTAGAATTTTACTGGAAATTATTTTTTTCCCATAGTTTGCAGACTCCATTTTCTTCCATGAAAAAATCCAACCAACCAGCTGAAATATTTTCTCTTCTTCAGCCCTAACATAGTGAACAAAGTACAAGAATTATAGTTGTGAAGACCTGGGTTCAAATCCTACCTCTTACACTAGCTGGATGATCATATGCAAGTCAGTTAACTTCTCTGAACCTCGGTTTCATCTGTAAAATGATGATAATGCTAGTTATTAATAATAATAAATTATTAACAATCATAAGGTTGTTGTGAGGTTCAAATATGATAATGTATTGGAGCACTTTGCAAACCTTAAAGTGATATATAAATGATAGTTATTATTTCAAAACCTGGGACAGTGGCTCAATGACATCGACCAGTATCAATATCTTAGTAAGTATTAAATATCTTAGTAAGTCAGTTCAGTTCTAGATCTCAGTAAACATTTGTTAAGTGCCTATTATGTGCTAGGCTTGGGGACACTAAAATTAAATAGCCCTCCCTTCAGGGAACTTACATGCAGTCAGGGTGACAGGTACATAAAGTAGTATGTACAAAATAAAGGAGGTAATTTCTTGAATCAGAGGGCATTAGCAGCTGGGAAAGAATCCGGCAAAGCTTCATGTGGAAGATGTTGCTTGAGCAGAATTTTGAGGGAAACAAAGGATTCTAATATGTGGCAGTAAATTGAAAGTGCATTCCAGACATTGAGGGTCAGTCTGAGAACACACAGAAGTGGGAATTGGGGTGTGAGGTCATGAGTGAAGTCTTGTGTGAAAAATAGCATGGAAGCTAGTCTGACTGGAATGTAATTATTGGGGAAGGAAATAAGGTTTAATAATGTTGGAAAGATAGGTTGTGTCCAGGTTATAGAGGACTTTAAAAGCTAGCTAGAGGGGCAACTAGGTGGCACAGTGAATAGAGCTCTAGCCTTGGAGTCAGGAGGACCTGAGTTCAAATCCAGCCTCAGACACTTAACACTTACTTAGGAGGCTCTTGTCCAGATGACAGGTGATAAGGGCCTGAATTAGGGTGTTGGCTGTGTAAGTAGAAGGGGAAGGAAGATGTTGAGGGTCCTCACCTTGAGTTTAAACATAGTCTTATACTCCTTAAATCTTTGTAGTACTAAGAGCATGGGTAGAAGTTGCAAATAGGAAAATTTAGACTTGGTGTAATGAAAACCACTGTGTTATAGTTGGGATTCTTTTCAGATAGACTGGCTACTGAAGTCCCTTCTAGTTCTGAAATCCTGTGATTGTTTGCAGTATAGTACAAGTCTTTTTTTTTTTTCATAAGATCCCCCCATATTGAGTGTGGTACTAAAAATATAAGAATACATGTGCTAATCAGCTTTACTAGCCATCTATTTGCTTGGCAGTTGGATCTGCTCCCTGTGAGGCAATGTAGCTCTGGAATACTTTCAGAAAAACCAGCTCCATCCAGAATTACAGGGTAGGTCTGATTACTAACAGTATTTAGGGATGGTACTATTTTATATTAAGAAGGGCAAAGGGGGCTGGAGGCTTTTTCAAAGGCACCAACCTAGCATAAGCAGAGCTTAGACACTTCACAAATACAACAATGCTAAATAAACCAGAACCTGTGTCTATTGATCCTTCATCTGTTTCGGTCTGAGAGGTGGAGACCCCTCAAAGACTGGAGTATAGGATGGGGTCGTCTGGAATGAATTCACAGACTCAAGCATTCTTTAAGTCAAGTTGGCAAAAAGTTTATTGTTACGCTTTTCAGTGGGCAAGGATTCTTAAGGAATCTTTGAGAGACTGAGGATGGAGCTAGGGTTTATATGTAAAAGGGCATGGGAAAGGAATGCCAGGGATACTGATTAGGTAATCTAAAGGTCCAAGTGTCTTTGGGAGCTATGGATGGGAAAGTATAGGGAGCATACCAGACAGGGAGGGAGATGTCAGAGGCATGGATCTTGGGAATCTGGCAGGAGGAAGAGTCCCTGGGCCAGCCAGGGACAAAACTCCTTGGGCCAGACAGGACACCCCTTTCTGTTCTGATTAGAGAATACTCTGCAACAAGGGAAAGTTTTCTCATAAGACAGGAGCTTACTAAGGAATTGGAAGGCTTCCAGAGACATGATATTAAGGCTGGGGCCTGAGCAACCCAGCACTCTCTCACCCAGTTTTGTGTAGCTGCACCAGGGAGAGAGATATGGGTCTTGCTGGGGCCCACACATGAATAACTGCTAGGCACAGTGTCCTTGGGCTGGGAAGAAATTGTCAGAGACAGTGTTTCAGGCTAGGGAGAAATTGGGGTCCAAGCACAAGCACCCAAGTACCTCATCACATCCATTTCAGTTGCATCTATCTACCTATCTTCCCTTTGGGAGAAGAGGCCAAGCCTGCCTAAACTATGACTTTCTTTCCCTAGACAGATGAAATCTGTAGCTGCACCACTTGTGCTCTTTCCAAGTAAGTTGTATTGGTTCTTTAAAAAGTTGCTCACTTACACAAACAAGAACATTCCTGACACACAGAATTTTAATAAAATCTAAAAGACAGGAAAGTATGCCTGGGGCACTAGTATAGTCGTTATATTTGGTGTATTTCAGGAAGGATTCCTACCAGAAGTTATTTCAAAGCCTCCATCATTGCTGGGACCTCCTTGGTCCCAGTCTGGTCCCAAGCAGATTGAAGCATTTCTATCCTTTGTGTAGGCGGGCAATGATGTTGCCCAGGGAGAAGTGATGCATAAAATAGGCCAGTTCATCAGAGAAAGGGCTGAGTGGTATTGTCATCCAATTTTTCTCTACACTCTAGGTTGCATACACATGCATCCTGGCCTTCCTTTTCCCGTGGGAAAAGCAGCAGAGCCCAAAGATTCTTGGGGCTAGTTCTGATTGTATGGTTATATCCCTAGTCAACAGATTTCCACAAACTAATTTTACTCATGTATAAAATGGTTTTGCCTCTCTATATTAGGAGATATTGAATCTTTATGGAGGTATCTCCTAGTCATACCCACTCCTTGATATCATGGTTATCATATATATTGAGACTCATCTCCCATCATTCTAGGGTTACACTTCAGAAAGCACATGTGTAGCTGTTTGTCATATACTTTTCATTTCATATCTGACTACACTCCTTTGAACTCTGTCATGCCCCTAGCAATCTTGTCATCAGGAAATTCATCATCCTGCAAGATTTCATCAACTTTGGTACTCATCACATCAGCATCCTTAGTACCCTCTGCTCTTCTGATTGGAGGGCTTTCGGAGGAACAAAGAGCTTTATTTGTAAAGTATTTAGCATAGTGCCTGGCACATGGTAGGTGCTACATAAATGCTTATTCCTTTTCTTTCTTCCCAAGGCCTCCATTTACAGAGAGCTCTCACACCAATCATCTCTTCATTTCCCACTTGGACTCTATCGCCCTTGTGTATGTTTCCATTAGATTGTAATCTCCTTGAGGGCAATGACTGTCTTTTTCATGTATCCCCAGCACTTAGCACAGTGCCTGGCATGCAATAGGTGCTCAATAAATGTTTCTTGACAGCTAGTCAATAAACCTAACCCCTTTACCAAGGGCACATAGAGGAGAGCTCACTATCATCTTAATTACTCAGGGTAACCATTGGTGAGTCCACAGAGATAAACAGAAATTTAGTCATTTGGGTTACCTCACCAAAACAATACATTCAGATATCCAGCCCACTGCCTCCAGGTACAAAATGGATCAGAAGTTTCTCCCAGACCTGAAAGTCTCTATATCCTCTCTCCCAGATAGCCTAGAACAAACACAACAGGTGATCAGGAAGTCTATTCGATGCCTGACTAAGGAGTGGGGAACCTGCAGCCTCCAGGCCACATGTGG